CACACCAAAATCAGAGATGTCCCATCTTTTAATTAGGTGTTAAATCGATTTTTTTTGTTCGCTGTGCTGCCATTTTTCCACCAATGAGAGTGCAACACATGTTTGAAACGATCGGTGATGATCCTCTGGAGATGTTAATGCTTATATCGGCATGATATAAGCGATTACAAATATTTTACTTTTCGGTTCGTTAATCGATTAATCGATTATTCAAATGAAAATCGGCCATCACTAGATGAATGTGAAACGTTATTTCAAATATAAGGACCGTACATAAATAATCTACAATTTGAAAGGGACCGGGGCTAATCACAAAGTACGTCTCCACGGTAACTGAAATAAACACGAGTGTTCACCGGTTGGGGATACTGTATCACATTTTTTTATATCAGGACATAAGGTAGAGCACAGCTTAGGCATAGGCGCCTAACAGAAACTTCAAATATACAAACGGTTTCGGTGTGAATGAATCAATCATACGATATTGTAGTTCAAAACCAACAAAACAAACTTTATAACAAAAGATAAAAGAAGCTTTTATCTAGCATCCAATACCACAAACATAACAAGAAACGGTTATGTGCTCAAGTTATTAACGAAAGAGAAAGTAGACGAATAGAATCGATCAATGTTACTTGGGACCTAAATGCTCCTAATTTGGGCCCATACATAAATTCCGCAATCGACTAAATTTTCAATAGCGAGCAAAAATGTCCATTAGTACCGACCCCTGACGCGTTCAACTAGACAAAATTGATAAACAGCAGATTTTTAGCGATGGGCCCAATGTTAGATCTATAGACCAACATTAGAGCCATTTCCCCTCCATCACCGAAAAGAGCTTCGTTTCCCACCGAGGGGCGCTAAGCTGGTGATTTTTGGCAATGTATTCGCACTTATTTAAAATAGTTTCAGTGTACCAAAATTGATAAAATTTTCGATTTCGGATCCATTTGACATGCAGATTACGAATATGTAATTACCTCAATACCCCTAAAGAAGCCAATTTGTCATTCAGTGCGTGAAAAATTGCAGACTCTCCCTTATACCTTGTTCAGACTACAGATTTATAACATTAATTAATTAATTTAGCTTTATTTAGGAGGCTTTCAGCCTTAGGCTGGTTCGCCTCCAACGATTTATAACATGTTATAGCGCTATCTTGAGGGTGGTTAGTGTGTTGCAACTATTTGACAACCGTTATAACATGTTATAACTCTGTAGTCTGAACGTAATATTACTCTTTCTGTAACACGAATCATCAAATTGTCCTGCTATTACACTATATACTGTCCGAATCAAGGGGTGGTCACTCTACACACACACGCAAATTTTGCGCCAACTTTTTTCTCAGTGAAGTCATTGAACTGGCTTTTGTTTGCTTGTGAATAAAGCCTTGTTTGGCAACCTGGTATTTTAACAGCTCTTGTTTTTGTTTTTTTTTCATTGTTTACAAAAACGATACGTACTCCAGTTGGGACTACACATTGGACGCAGCCGTCTCCAAGAATGCCTGCAACGGACGAGCCCCTTTGCTACACGATCCTACCATCTTCGCCGGAAAGCCGACCCCGTACAACGTACAACCATGGTCCTAAACCAGCCCTTCTAGGAGCCGGCGGAGGAAACGGATTTGCACCGAATTTTTCACCGCCGGAGTTTCATCCGTCGGAAAACTGGAAACCAACACCGGCCGGAACACACGTCGAACTGATGAAGGGCGCACCGCTGACCCGAAATGGACCAGCCAACTTCATTCAACCGGCACATCAACAGGGCGCAGTTATGATGGTCTACGGACTCGTTAACAACACAGCCAACACCGATATTAGGGAAACAAACCAGCCCAGGGCTGAAAGTCTCCTTAATAAAGAAAGGACTACAGCGCCTCCAAGAACAATCGCTTCCTTTCGTTGATCCAGACCAGCAAAAATCACATTCTGCCACCGAGCAAGATTCTCCAAGATACCCCACCCATTATATCGGAGGATCTCCTGCTGACTGCAGTCACCACCAAGGACTGTCCCCGATCGCAAGTACGAATGTTCCCGCTGAAATCTGACCGTTCCTCCTTCGCAATGGTCGAGTCCCTGGTGGTGAACGCCATCATGAAGTGCAACCACAGCGCGATCACCATTTCCAGTCAATAGCAGAAAGAGTCTAGAAGCCTACCAAAAATTTGAATCAGGATATGTTAGTTCCGTGGATGAAATTCTTGTTAGTGGTCTGTTTGTTGTTCGAGGTGGACATGCACTTCTATATGCAACAGTTCACAGGCATGATGATTCTTTGTATTAACCACTCAAACAACTGTAATCCTTGTTAGAAACAATCATGCACTTGGTCCTGATCAACACTACGTATTCACTAAGACCATAAGCACAAACGAAGTGACAGATGACTAACTCTCGCGTCACTTTTCAAATAGACCAATGTAACATAGCTACCATTTTGAGAAAATCGATGTTGAAGTTCGACAGATTATTATTTTAACTGTTTAAAAACAATACATTTTGCAATACTATTTTTAATGTAGTCCGTGTATAATAACGTTGAAAATTCAGAAGATACGGTAAAATCACAATTTTGATTTGAATTTCATGCTACAACATAGAAAAAACCACATAGGACGTTTTGACAAGTCGAGTTGTACATCGGACATGTTACATTGGACGTCTCAATATGTCTCAATGACATAATCAAACGTTTTGTCTACATGATACTAGATTCCCTTTCACAGATTTCAGAGTATAGTACCTAACTTTAGATTGGCCCCGCCTTTGGAAAATGAGCACCAATCATGTTAAGCAGTTCGAATGACCGAAGTAACAATCATATACCCATCATTTCAAACTGTACATTGGACAATTTTTGATCAATGATTATTTTAAATAAATGAAAGTAAATTTGGATGGATGTTTTTGTATCACATACAATGATAGAAGAGCAATAGTTTGTAACGCTAAACTCGATTTGTTTACATTTGTTACATTGGTCTATTTGAAAAGTGACGCGAGAACTGGCGAAAAAATCAATTAAAATAAGGTGGTTCGCTGTAATAGAATTTTCTTAGAAGCTTGTGCCAACAGTCACCAGATGGGCTGGTATTTTTGTTTTGATTTTACCGAAGTTGAGTTTGTGTGCAATGATCTTTGACAATGTGCAAAGAGAGTATCATTTTGTCATTTTTTATGCATTTCTGTTTTGAGTAGAGTGAAAGAGATAGAATCAAAATATTCTAGTACATTTGCTGAAAATTCTAGTACAATCCAGTAGTAGTGTTACCATGTAGTTACACTGGTAGGTACACTGAAAAATTGTAATTGTAATTCGTCACCAAAGTCTGTCACTTCGTTTGTGGTATTTTAGGCTTTATCTTTTTTTAATTTATAAGTTTTTGAAACTTAATTGAAGAAATTAGACCTGTGATGTGTTGTGAATGGAACCTACTATCAGTGCAAGGATTACCAACGTCTGCAGATACTTTACCGGTTGTAAAGTTCTGCCTGATGGTTTGTTGCAGCAGGGTGGATCAGCTGCATTGAAAACCTTTCTAAGACAATATGACCAGATGGCCATCTGTAATCACGTGACAAGGGACTGGCAAATCCACGAACCCTCGTCCAGTCAACAAATCCTTTGATTCCCTTAGGCAATAAAATAAAGGTTTCATGCTTGTTTAGTATTTACAAGCCGTTTTAACAGCACCTATCATCAGATTTTGTGTGTAATAAATGAACCGCGCAAACCAATGCACTAATGCATTTATTTTTACTTTAATATTAAATTTATCTCAAGTAATCTCAAACACACCAGTCACACTACAGGATTTTTTAATTATATTTTAGATAAACTTCAATTTTATCCAGCAATCGTCTGAAAAATAGCTGCTATTGATTTTCAAAGTCCTGAACAGGATTTAAGCCGTAGGCTAGTTCATCTCGGAGAACTGGATGACCATTCCATAGAATAGATGTATAAGGAAGCGAACGTGTCCCGGTTTAACTACGGGATAGTCAACCTAAAACCATGGCCAGTCTTGCCTTTTGAGCAATTTCCCGAATTTCATGGTGTATTCAGGGATTTGTAGTATCATCAAAGATCTTCACATAGAATTTTCGATATCTTTTAGTTAGTTTCACTCCTGATCCTGTACCTCACACTGATAAAGGAGCAGGAAGAACCAATTACATTATGTAGTTCCTTGCCACCTTAACGTAATGAATTATTTCATTGAATTTCAATGCACGCACCTTTGCATCAATATCGTCTATTATACACATATATTAGTTTCATTAGAATTGGTAACCAAAACTATATTTAACAGATGAACAAATTTTTTTCGATTATTCAATCGTACTAACAGTTTGCTTGACACGTCAAGCATGACCACAAAAATTAGGTTGCTGAGTTGCTGCGTCAATCCAACATTGAGCAGTACGAGTTAAACGCTGTCCAGACTGGAGAGTTATAACATGTTATAACGATTGTCAACTAATTGCAACACAGAAACCACCATCAAGATAGCGCTATAACATGTTATAACTCTGTAGTCTGAACGTACTATTACTCTGAGTTACTCAAAATTTACACAAAAATCTAAAACCGTCTTGCCCATAGTGTTCAAATGTATAACATTCATGTGTCAGGCTATTTTTTGTTTTAATATGTACCTATTCCAGATCTTGAAACTGCAACAACGCTTGTTTATTTCCCAATTTGTTCAGATATATGTTAAGCCAACACACTGTGTCACTTGGTTAAAATTACCTATTTCACTTTATATGTATGTGCCTTCTAATATACCGACTCTGAAGCGACAATATTAAAGTTGTCACAGTATTTAAAGATTTCGATTCGATAAACCGTTTCCAGTTAGCGTCACCGATATCGAGTCACCCGGTATTGGATTCACTTGCACAAACAATCAATGTGAAATCGGTTATCGGACCACGTTCGCTTCGCACAAGGAGACAAAACTGCCTGGCTGGCTCTCTTACCTTGGTTTCATTGTTATTCATCGTGAATATTGATTACTGATCCATATAAAGGGTCCCGCCGGATTGGATTGGTGGTTGATCGTTTTCACTGCACTGCGCTGACTAATTCACTCTGGGGTAATCACAACATCCACATTCAAACATTTACACAGAACAATTCCAATAATTTTCAATTCACAAATTCTTAAACGTCACTCCAATCCAAGTAGGCACCACCGACTAGCAGCATTAGCTTCTTCCTCAGCAGAAAAAAAATATGTACATTCCACCTAATTCTTCCTAATCATCTCCACCCGAGAATGACCAAACAAATCCCATTCCGGAAGCGCAGCGGTCTATAATTCCACCGGAATGACACGTTTCAAATGTAAACAAACAAACAATAGAATCACTCTCTCCGAACTCTCCACACAAGTCACAAATCACGTGTCCGCACGCGCAAACGTTAGTTAATCCGAACGGGTCGACGGTTCAAGCTGAACTGTTGTGTTGATTCGAACACATCGCGCGCCGGCTTGGAGCAGCACCGCCGCACAAAAAAAGTGTTTCCTTTTTTACCACTTCGTCTGAAATTGAAATTGAACTCGACGGTCTGTTTTAGTGGTGGCGGCCCCGAAAGAATAGATCTCATTGGCGTTCGAGCACAAAGTGCACGATTTGCGTTTAGCTGCGGGGGTTATTAACTAGCAGCAGCAGTCCGCAGCGTGGGCTTATTTGGAAGGTTGCCTTCAATATGCTGAGCTGAGGTCGCCTGATTGCAGCAGACCGCGAAAATTTTCGGGGATGCACTTTGACAGCCGCGAATTAATTTGATCTCAGATGGCCGCAACCGCGCGAGATTTGTAATCCGGGGCTACTAGACATTCTCCATTAGAAAATGATGAGCTTGCGGTGCCTCCCTGATCGTGTTTCCGATCTTGTTGTTTTTGTTGTGTGTAGACTGTAAAGCGAATCAACAACATACATATGCACGAGAAGCAAAGCTTGCAAAACAGCATAGCAAAATGTAGAATAGTATAAAAAGCAACGCCCATCTATCTATGTGAAAGTACGTGACCTAAAACCAGCGGAGCTTGTGTTAGCGGAGTTATGCAGTGGAGCTTGCGCCAAGTTGTGAATTTTGTGTGTGTGATTCGTATAACCTATTTTTAGTCTTAATGTTCATTGGTTAAAATGTTAAACTGTGAAAGCTCCAATACCAAGCTGCCATAAAGTATGCTGTCAAATCATTTGGTTGACGATATACACCTTGCTGGCAGAATAGAAAGAAGCATTCCATCAGCGAATTTTAACATGTTAATGAAAAATTTCAAGAGAACCTTTTTTGTATCGGATAGTGAGTGCAGACCACGGAAAATTTGCCCCGTTTCAGCTGCTTCACATGGTTTACACTATCCAATACATTCTCCAATCGATTCGTTGGGATTTTTCATATATGAAATTATCTAGCGGCACTCACTTGCTATAAGAAATAGTTTCTCGGAATTGTGAAACCATCAGATGTTATAATGATATTGTGTACAAGCAAATTACAAGAAGAGGTTGTAAAGCATGGGTTTGACTCTTAAAACCTGTCAATTTCGCTTTCAGAGCGTCACAATAAACGAATTTATGATTCGTAAGCGTTCACTCCAGTGTTGGAAAAATCATCAATCAATTGATATTTTTCCACTCTCATACGCTCTCAAAATATCATGTTTGATATTGTGAAACTATTTACAACATGTAAAAATGAAGCTGAGAATTGACTCGACACAAAAATGATTCCGTTGCACATCGTTTTCTTGGAAAGAGAAAGTATAGTTTGTTATCTCTATTTACTTTTAACCAATCGCAGACACGAAGCTACTGCTGCCAGCAGTGACGGTAGTTTCGGGTCGCGTTCAGATTTAAAGCAAAAATCATGAAACTCAAACTCATCACGGTTTGGTTCGATATCACAGCCTGAAATATCAACCGCTTGATCTTGGGCATTGATGAGATTTGATTTTTTTTATATTTTACCACCACTGGGTTCACTCAGAGTGAGCACTTACGAATCGTAAAATCGCTGATTGTGACGGTCTGAAAGCAATATTGATAGGTTTTATGTGACAGATGCATACTTTTCCAATTGTAACTTACAAGTACTATTTATCATTATAATGATATCATAATTCCGAAAAACATTTTTCTATAGCAAGTTACTGGAAGCAAGTCTAAGCGACAGTATTCAAAGGTATTATCAATTCAGTTCAAATAACGAGTTTTGGGGAAAATGCGGCAAAATGAGCTTCTTTAGACTAGATCCTCCCAACGAACAACCATTTATAAATTACATAACAATGAATCACTTGCTGACACTCACTTGGTATAAGCAGTTGTTTTTCGGAATTATGAAAACATTATATGTTATAACAAAACAATTTTTTATAGCAAGTGAGTGGAAACAACATTTATTGCATTCAAAGTGTTTTTATGTTGCTTCATACGCGAAGTTAACGATTTTCAGAGTTGGTTGGAAATGCTAACATGAAGCTTTAGTGTGATGATTTATTAGCTAGAGAATGATCTTTAGAAGAGGGTAGGTGGATAGTTCCGTTAGAGTACGGCAGTATGAAAATTGAATAGAAGTTGAAAATGAGCGAAGGGCCATTAATGCGACAGTTTTTTAAGATCGACGCACATTTTTGCCTAACCCGTACGATGTACGCGGGGACTTGAAGTATGTCTCCAAGTCCACAGGCAAAAATGTGCCTCCCTTCTTTTTGCTCATCAGGGATCTTAGATTTAAACAGGCCCGATGATTCTGAATCATCTTGCCCCTTAAAAGCCGCACAGTAGGCCTGGCCATTTTTATATGTGTTGCGCATCTCTGATATGTAACAAATATCAAATAGACAAGAACAATAGTTGAAATACATCCATCATTTTCCAGCATGCTTTCAAGAACTGGCTGTGTTCGTGTTAGATTATATTAGACATTAGCACCACATGGTAGTGGAACTCCACAACCGAACTATCAAATCCAACTTTTCACACTTACCATAATTTCACCGAGGGATGATTCAACGTACAATTTTTATGGCACAGTTGTAGAAGGCTATTATTTATTGAATTGTTTTTAAAAGTGACAGGTGAAAAATTAATAATGATACATACCTACTACGTCACTGTAAGTCCCCGGACGGATCAAATATGAAGTCACACAGATCAGAACCAGGCCAAGCTGAGCCAGGAATATGAGGACAACCAGAACAATCCCGAACTGCAAATGGAAGAATATCAAAAGGTAAATCCCGAGTTGTAGAATGACGATTTGGAGAATTGGTTCAAAGATTACAACGCTGGGGATTTGAGGCACATTTGGGTAGCACAAATGGCGACTCACGATCAGCTGCGGATGCTCAACACGAAGCTGGACGAGGTGATTGGCCACCGGAAGTGACTGCTCTCGATTCACCGCACGTTACACAACAGCAACCGGTAGGTGCACCCCAGATCGCTTCTGGAAGCTCCATTGTGCGTCACAGTTGGACGCTCTGGGAAAGACTGGTATAATACATATACAGGCCCTTATTACGGGTGTCACTTCACGGTGAAAACGAAGTGAAGTGACCAGTTGTCCCTCACGGTGAAGTGATTGCCGTGTAAATCAAATGGGAATCACTTCACTGTGAGTGATAAGTTGTCAATTCACCGTGAAGTGACGTTGGTAATAAGGGCCATACAATATGGTATGTATAGACTATGGCAGGCCCAACAAGCCGCCCTGGAAAAAACATAAAGTTGCAAATACTGAAGAAAGAAATACGGATCGGAACAATCGGCACAGACCTACGTGACGAAATAAGGACTACGATTGGAAACTCGGAACATGGAACTGCAAATGGCTCGAGTTCCCGGGCTGCGATAGGTTAATCTATTACGAACTTCAACCACGCAACTTCGAAGTCGTAGCACTGCAGGAACTTTGCTGGACGGGACAAAAGGTATGGAAAAGCGGGCATCGAGCGGCTACCTTCTACCAGAGCTGTGGCACCACCAACGAGCTGGGAACCGGCTTTGTAGTGCTGGGTAAGATGCGCCAACGCGTGATTGGTTGGCAGCCGATCAACTCGAGGATGTGCAAGTTGAGGATTAAGGGCCGTTTCTTCAACTACAGTATCATCAACGTGCACTGCTCACACGAAGGGAGACCCGACGACGAAAAAGAAGCGTTTTATGCGCAGCTGGAGCAGGTGTACGACAGCTGTTCGCAACGGGACGTCAAAATCGTCATCGGCGACATGAACGCTCAGGTAGGACGGGAGGTAATGACTAGACCGGCAATCGGGCCAAACAGCCTGCATGCCGTATCGATCGACAACGGCTAACGATGCGTGAACTTTGCAGCCTCTCGGGGTTTGGCAGTTTGAAGCACCTTCTTCCCCCGCAAGGGTACCCACAAAGCCACCTGGAGATCACCTGACCAACAGAAAACCAAATCGATCACGTTCTAATCGACGGGAAATACCGTACCGCAGTGCGAACATAGATTTGGACAACTACCTAGTTGCAGTATGCATGCGCTCAAAACTCTCGACGGTGCATATCACCCGTCGAAGTCGAACGCCGCGACCCAACATTGAGCAACTATGGGACGCCGGAGTTGCCCAGGACTACGCGCAGCAGCTGGAAGTTGCGCTACCCACGGAAGAGCAGCTTGGCGCAGCTTCTCTTGAAGATGGCTGGAGGGACATCCGTTCCGCCATAGGTAGTACTGCTGCAGCGGCACCAGGTACTGCAATTCCGGATCGAAGAAATGACTGGTTTGACGGCAAATGCAAACTGTTAGTAGAGGAGAAGAATGCAGCACGGGCGAGAATGCTGCAACACCGCACGAGATTGAATGTGGAGCGATACAGACAAGCGCGGAACAGACAAAGCTCGGTTTTCCGAAGGAAGAAGCGTCAGCAGGCAGACCGAGATCGCGAGGCGATGGAAAATCTGATGCCCAATTTACAAAAAGGGCGACAAGTTGGATTGCTGCAACTACCGAGCGATCACACTGCTGAGCGCCGCCTACAAGGTACTCTCCCAAATTCTATGCCACCGCCTGTCACCATTTGCAAGAGAGTTCGTGGGGCAATACCAGGCGGGATTCATGGGTGTCCGCGCTAC